CCTTTAAAGCCTTCTAAATGATATTCTTTGAAGTCTCTGGCATTTTGTCTCATTTATTCTCTATATTCCACGTGCAATTTATATATTTTCAATGAATTTATCCCCTTCATTTAGATATATAATTGGTTAATTCTCTATTGTGTCCAAAGTTACTGCTTTTTCTTTTCTGCATTTTTATCTTTTGTTTTTGCTTAGTTGGTTTTAAAAAAAATCTCCCCGCTGTACTCTTATTAGATGATTTGATATATTATGAACCTTTTCAAAGATAGAACTTCAGGTACTGTTAATCTTCTATGTCCTGCATTTCACTCATTTTTCTCCCTTCTTGTCTCTGTGTATGTCCAATTGCTCTTTACTTGACTACATACTTTGTTCTTAACCTTTCTAATTTCGTGATAAATGTAGTTAAAAATTCATTTTCCCACAATTTCAGCCATGTAGTGTTTAAGTACAGTAAAACCTTGGTTTGCGAGTGTTCTGCAAGACGAGCAAACATTTCTAATACATTTTAACGTGGTAAACGAGCGATGTCTTGCAATAAGAGTAGTTTGTTTTGGGAACAAATTATGCTCGCAAACCAAGGTATTACTGTATTTAATTCTCATCCTTTTAATCTTTTTATAACCTCTGAATTTTAATTGGGAGTATTTAGTCCATTTACATTTAATGTGATTATTGATAAGGTTGGATTTAGGTTTATCAATTTGCTATCTTTGTTTTAAACTGCCTGTTTTAGTTGCTTTTGTTTCCTTACTGTACTTGAAGTTAATATTGTCCCTCTTCACATTAAATGTAAGAAAGTCACCAATATATAGTCCTCATCACTTATGCTTTTGCACTATGTGCACACATTATATCTACATGCTCTATAAATTCCACAATACAAAGTTATAATTTTGACTACAATCATTGTGTTTTAAACAAAGTTTATAAGAATTGAGAAAGAATAAATGTTAGGTTGAAATATTTTTACCCACATACTTAACCACTTTTGGTGCTCTTCATTCCTTCCTGAAGATCCAAGTTATCATTTGATATTTACATCAAGCCTGAGTAATTCCCTTTAGCATTTCTTGTCATGTAGATTTGCTAGCAACAAATTCATAGCTTTTGTTCATCTATGTGTATTTCACCTTCGTTTTTGAAGGACATTTTCTCTGGATATAGAATTCTACGTTGAAAGGTTTTTTGTTTTTTTCTCCCAGCACTTAAAAAAGTGTCACCTCAGGGCCGGCCGAGTGGCGCGATGGTTAAGAACTCGCTTGGGATGCCAGAGGGCCCCGGTTCGGATCCCACATATGAGGGCCAGTGACACTGCCCTCCA